CCTAGATGGGTCGAGTTCTGGAGCGACGCGGCTGTTGATCGGCGCCGGAGAAACTCGTCGTCATCATCTTCGAATTCGTCCCCAGAGAGGTATTTCGATATGCCGAGAACCCAAATCCCCAAATGGGTAGACGAATACGTCGAGCAAATCGGGTCGGTTCTTAGAGAAGGCGGGTGGGCCGAGTCAGATATATCGGAGATCGTACACGTGTCAGCATCTGGGTTCTTCGAAGGAGAGATGGTTTTGTTGGATAACCAAGCGGTTCTCGATGTGCTTCTTTTAAAAGCGGATCGGTTCTCAGATTTGCTCCGAAAGGCCGGGTGGAGCTCCGAAGAAGTTTCGGATGCGCTAGGGTTTGATTTTCGACCGGAGAAGGAAAAGAAACCTGCCAAGAAATTGTCCCCTGAGCTGGTAGAAAAAATTGGGAAACTTGCTGAATCAGTTAGCCGGTCATGACACGGCTTCAAGATTTTTTTTTCTTGTTTTTCTTTTAAACTTTGTTTTCAATTTTCCTTTTTTTTAAAAATATTTTCAGGGTCTCGGGGTTTGGATTTTCCCTCTTTTGGGTTTAAAAAAAAAAGAAAATAGTAAAATATATGGGGTAACGCGTTGTACTATGAAACGAGGCGCAAAAAAAAAGGAGCTGAAAAAAAACAGTTAAAATCACATTGTTGTTCATAATATATAAATAATTAATGAGAAACATAGCTATTTTTCTTTATTTACAGCTCAGATTTTCATAATCTTTCGGTTAATTTTTTGTTCTTCTCGATAACAATGGAATATTTTTGTTAGATGAACTGGCTCAGCTTCCTAAATCGGCACCAGTGCACGTGTGCTTATTTAATTCATTTATTTCTACCCTTTTCTCTCTAAAAAATTAAAGTTGTTAGTAGGCCCCACTATTTGGACATGACTCCGTAACCAAAATTTTGATTCAATTTGTCATTTAAGTTTAGTTAAAGTAAATAGAGATATTAGGTTTGAGTCAATATTTTTCTGGCATAAGAGTATGGTAAGATTTAAATAGAAATATTTGGTTCGAGTAATATAATGATTTTTAGTAAAGTTTTGATAATTTCCCGCGGGGGGCGCCGCATCTATAATCAAATTAGTCCTAGAAGTCAGCTCTTCAAACACTGTCGTTTTAGCTGTTGCTTTCATGTCCTTTTCCCTTGCTTAGGACTCCAAGTGCATTTTCCATTTTTTTGGAACTAAAAAAAGGAGTGGAAACCTGCCATTGTTTTTTTGATAAAACAGGCAACGGAGATGTCTGGCAAAGATCTCTGCTTTTGAGAAACTACCAAGCATTTAAGACAAAGAGAGAGAGATATTTTTATTCTTGAATTTTAATATTTTATATTACCATTTTCTAGGAATATGGGAAAAAAATAGTGACGGGGGTTTCTAGTTTCCAGTATCCAGTCTCCACACAGAAACCTGACACCAAAACCTTCCCATCGTTTAGCTTTTAACAGACAAAACAACGAGGTCTCTGCGATCCATCTTGCCATAACCCCCACAACAAACTAAACCAAAATAATCTGAAATCTGAATCCTTTGATTTGAAATTTCAAGGAAAGCTCAAGGGCAAATGCAACAATCAAAAAGGAATTGGGGGGCCACGTGATGTGGGGGTCCAAACAATGGGGTTTGGGGTCCCTACATGAGATTAGATAGTTAGAAGAAAAGCAAAGATGGGTTTGAATTTTATTTTTTCAGGTAATTTCATTTCATTTCACGTAATTCTGTTGGCATTTTGACAGTGAGATGTTGTACATAAAATCGTAATTTAATTAAAAAGTAACTTTGGTTAGGTTTGTCAAGCCTTATTTTGTAACATTACAAGGGAGCAAGCCAGGTCGACATGTGAAAGGGAAGAGCCGACGAAGGTACTGAAGAAAAGGGGTTTTGTTTCATTTTTTATTTTTTGTATATTAAATTCAGATAAGCCTTGATTTAATGCACCGATTTCAGAAATGCTCAGGATGACTATGAATGCTTTCAGATATTTGGTTTCTGAATCTGGGGGATTTGTTCACGCATCACTTCAGTTTTGAGTTAGGGATGATTCCGTTGTTTGCCTCATTTATGGAAAAAGATAAAACATACTATCTTTGTGTCTCTCTTTTTTTTTGTTTGTTTTTTGCTTGGTCTAGTTAAGATATGTGTAATTGGTTGGCCGATGGTTTAAGTGAATTGTACGTTAAATAAATTTATACAGCTGAATCAGTGAATTTTGTGGTCGTTGGGAGCCCACTTTTCCCTTGGGGTTTTACCCATTTTGCTCCACTGGGAATCTCTTGAATGCTGCGAGACAATGATACTTGCACTTGGTACTCTTCCGTCCTCCTACTACTCTTCTTGAAAATACGCTTAAGAAGTTGAACACATGAGAGTGGAAGAGATTTTATAAGTTGATTTGTTTACAACTCTATCGTTAGCTTGCTCAGGTGGCTGAGTCTGGCAAATGGGTTAAAGGCCAAAACCTAATTGTCTCAAATAGGCCATGAAAGCTTCATCAAATCTCTTCACACTTACCAATTCTCAGGATATAGGTGACAGTCATAATTTTGCCGACAAACCCATTTTTCCTTGTAAAATAAACTAATAAAGAGGTTTAAATTAATTTGCAGGGTGAGAACCATAAAAAGGAAGAAGAAAAAACAAGGGTTTAGGCTGAGGGAGATCTTTGCTGACCAAACAATGAATACCAAATAATTGCACAGTAAAAACCATTGGTTAGGTTGATCTTTGGATGCCACCTTCACCACATGTCCATTACCATTTGACAGCAATAATTAGACCTGACAAAACACAATTATTAAAACCAAAAAAAAAAAACCAGGAAAATCTTTATACCCAAAAAGCAAATGAACAAAACCCAAAGTCCAAAACCAGTGAAAAACTGAAAAAATATATTATATTCCATCATCCCCAAGTTTTGTTAACGCATATTTAAGGCTCCAACGGTCACTGCAAGGCCACCATCCGCCACCTGAACCGACCGTTGCTAAGGTCACGTGCCATCGCCACCGCCATTCACTGCTTTCACATGCTTACAAAATCTCCCCACAGTCCTTAAGAAACGGCAACATGTGCACAGTGCATATGAAAAGGAGGACCTTTTCAGAGCTGGGACATGTTACGTGAGATTTATGAGGAGAAATGGGCTTTAGCCCCTCCATTTGTTCATGTGTCTGCAGTTCTCGTGACACCTTTTTAAAGTTTAAAGAGCGACCCTTTGCCCACCATTTCACCCATAGATTACTTGCGAAGTACCCCATATATCAAATTGCCCCCCCTTTTTTTTCTTTTTTTAAAAAATGAAAATTTAACCCAAGGTAAATATTGCTTGAATTCAAATAATTCAAAGCATATAGATTCATGCATCTTTTACATCATTTCATTATCAATTTAAACTTAAACTGTCAATTATAATATATGCTGTTCAAACTTAAAGATGAATGTTATATATGATCATGATTATATAAGTTTTTTCATATATTTAGAATGCTAAAATTAAACTTCCATTTATTCATGTCTTTTAAATAGTGTCTCCTTTCCTTTTCTCGAAAGCGAGAAACTTCTAAAGCCCTTTTCGCTTTAAATAAGAATAAGGTAAGCATCGCAGCTCTAACCTATGCAAGAAAATAGACCAATTATATTAGTCTAGAGCAACCCTTTAAAGGTATAAGATCAAAGTGTTAGGCCGACTAGGTAAAGGAGTGCAGTAAAGTGAGGTGAGCACAGAATTAATCAGAGTTTTGTCTTGTGCGGTAGCGAGATAAGAGGGGTGGAGAACTGGTGGTGGTAGTGGTGTCCAATCTTGCCTTCAGAAAGGAGGTGGAGTCTAATTGGGTAAGGTGCGGTTGCTTTTTTCATGCAAAAGGGGACAGTAGAGTCTGGGTGCGGATTTTAATGTGATTAGATACAGAGGAAGATGAGGCATGGAAATGGATGGTGTTTCAATTCAAGTTTTGAGATTGTCTAAAAAAACTTTGAAAAGTGACCTTACGTTGACATTAAGAGTGGGAGGGGACTTTGGACTGTTCTGAAAAGTGTTTGCTGTTATTTAGTTTGTTTGTTGGGTGCATTATTGCTGCAGGGCAGGTTTAATTTCCCAATTGTCAATGCTTCCATGTGTCTGCACAGTTTTTCTTTGGGTCTCTTACATGACTGTTGGAATTTTCTTGTGGGCTGAGGCTGACATTCTGAACCAGATTTTTTGGTTTTTTCATTAAACAGGTTCTCTGTGTGCGCAAATTAACTAAATGAAACAGTACCACAGTTTAAGAATCTTATTCAATTCTCTTTTTTTGTTTTGCCACTCTCATTTACTCAAGCTGATGGGGTTATGGAGGCTAGAGTGGCAAATGGAAGAAGATGCACGTTATCAGAAATGTGGAGCTAGTTGCTGCAGGTTTCTTGACTGTATATAGATAGATAGCTTTTAATCTCGAGATGATAAGCCAATATATGGGGACAAGTTACATCTTACATGTGCGGTGACTGACATGTGATGAAAATTGGGACCCCAATCTGTCAGTAAATTATTTCCAAAGCTATCAGTTTCCTCTTTCCCGATTTCTTTAGACAATTACACCCACCCCATTCTTGATCCATTCCGGACGGTGAACCTCTACCCCCCATCTTACTAGTCTGAAACACAAATATTTGAAACCAGAAGGCAGAAGTCTCTTTGAAAAGTTTTTATTGGACTGCACTCCGGCCCATGCAGCAAGCAAAGAAAACGCTAAAATATGAGTTTCTCTTCAGTTTCTTCTGCTATTATTATTTAACTGCGAAACATAAACACCCATAACTTCACAAGTTGGTCAAACAGTGGACTGAAGGTTCAAATAAAGATTTGTTTTTTCTTTCATTTAAAATACAGTGTACTTTGTTTTCTGAAAAAACACTGGGAAATAGAGTTTACCATTAAATGTTTATATATATTTTTTCTTAACATAAATGAAATATGTATGTCAGCAGCACAATTCAAAAGAAATGGAAGTTGACATTTCGTATCCATGCTCCGCCCGAAGCTGTGCAGAAGTATATGACATTTCTTGTATAATAATCCGAATTCAGCTCCTACTTTTTTACAAAATGTAGCAGATTTTCATTTACTCCACCAGTGTAAATAAATGCTGTACAGTGCTATAAATTCAAAAAATGGCAGCTTCATGACCTCTCATACTGCCTGAAGAATCCCGCCCTCATCCTTCTCAGCAATCTTAGGAGGTGATCTCATCACCTTTACCCGGAAAGCTGCCTGCACATCGCTTGGAAACTAAGACGAGGTACACGTTGGGAAAAAAGTCGTAGAACGAAGAATATACAAAAAAAAGCTGAGTCATTCTAATTACTATAACTTGAATAAATGAGCAGCAAACGTTTCTTAGTCTTTAAAGAGGGCTTTAAACATGGGACCTATGTTTTGGAGATAAAAGTCTGATATTGACTTCAGTCGGACAGACAAGAAGCAAATGTTGAATAACATTCATGTGGTAGGTTAGTAGACTCGTATTTAGATGCTATTTATTTACCTTCTTATCTGAACCGAACTGAATGACATCTGATGGACGAACACGAGTAGAAACATTTGGTGGTACCCGAGATCTTCTCCCTTCATGGCTGCACATACAAAGTTTAGTCTTAGAGAAACTCCAGGAATTTAAGATCCCTAAAGACGTTTCTTGCTGGTCATGACTTACTCTATATAGGTCCCATGTTCACTCTGCAAATCAATTAGGAAGAATGCACCATCCTTATAGCAGATTTGAGCATGCGTTTTGGATACCTGAGATAATTAGGCAAAGAAAAAAAGCAAAAGAAACAGAAACATTCAACATAATTGTTGCAGAAGTGAGCAAGGTATGTATGCTCCAGATCAGTAGATTATAACAGCTGAAAACCACCTGGGGTGAAGGCACCGCCACTGACGCTCCTGGAAAATTCTCACTTTTTACACTCCTACAATGACCGTTAAGCATCGACAGACAGATAAATTAATACAAGAGAAAGCAGCAAAATGGTCAATGGGATTCTTTATGCTCCCCTTAGGAAACAAAAAAATCCCTTTTAAGAACATAAACTCATAACCTATAAACCAATTACAAGCAAATACATACCCAATCATGAAAGGTTTGTTCTCATCCCTACTTAGACGAATAGGCTGTGAGGCAACTACTTCATTTCCAACTGGGAACAAAAACCACCTGAAAAATGGACAAGAAATATAAGAGTCTATAGTATCGAATAAATTGAGCAGAAAATATGATGAATTTCACAAATAAAAACTATTATACGCACTCTCCATTTATAGTCTGCTCCAATGCATCATTGTCTTCAAACCATGTCCGCAATTGGTCACTTGCCTGAAGAAATTAATTAACGGATGTTTCAAATAGTTTCCATAGCTATTAATGCATAATCAGTAGGAAGAAAGCAGCATACCTTGTCTGAGAGTCTGCAACTTAGGGACCTTCCTTCAAGTTTTGAGCTGCAAATATGTCAATTCATTTTCAGAAAAGGAAGAACAAATCAGAAATTTCATCCTAGGATCTTATGCAAGCCTTTTTAGACAGTTTCCTAATCCACATTGATACTTTTCCCCAATTTCAATCTTTTTGCCATTTCAAAAGTTTGTGGCACCCAACACTTTTTGTTAGCCCTAAATTCACAGTGCCATTTTCCCAAGTCTGTGAAAAAGAGAATCGATACTATCATAGAACTCATCGATATGCAGAAAATTTGAAACAAAGAAAAAAAAAATAAAACAGAAGATCCAACGATAGAAGCAGAAGAAAACAGGCATTTCAAAAACCAACCTGTTACCACCTAAGACCCAACTGAGCATTAAGGGCATTGCTAAGTCAATAAAAAATCTGCCACCAACTCTTCCTGGGTGCGGTATCCGAAATTTTGTCAAAAACTGCAAAGCAGGTCAGATTCCATGGTGATTATGCATGCAGTAGTTGCACAATTATTGGCTTTATCCCATTATTCACTTCCATTTAAGGTAATCAAAATGAATTCTTACCGACAATGGACCTAGCCCTACACCTAAATAAGCCTTGTAAGTTGAAGCCATCATTGCAGCCATTCTTGCCATTCCATGGATAATGGCAACTCTCAGTCTTCTAGCTCCCTCATAGCTGCAAATGAAATGAGTCCCTAGGAGAATCAGTTTTTGTTTGCAGAAAATAGATACAGTAGACCAGTGACATAAAAGAATTTGGTTATACAGATGTCATACATAATACACAGAAATCATTATCAGCAGACTGCCTAGGAAATTTTCAGTGAAAATCTAGATTGTGATGATTGAATCTGTTAAATTTAAAGAATTTAAGGATTAGCAAACTTTCCAGACATTAGAAACAATCACAAGATATTCAGTAATGATGTTCTACTCCCATGGTTTAGAAGGCCTCTTTCCCTACTACAATAACTTGACTAAAGTGAAATCAGGAAAGGCTTAATTCAACAATTCAGTCTAACAGAGAAGTACATTCTCACTATAATTTTTTATTGAATATGCAGTTTGACGTCCCTTATTTTATTTTTCCTCCTTTCGAACTATTTATGGAGAAGGAAATGTTATATTACCTCTTTAAAGAAGAAACAACATCAACAGCAGTCCCTGACTCAACACCTTGTTTCCATGCCTTATCAAGTTCCAATGCTAATTGATAACTATCCTGCAAGATGAAGAAAAAAAAGTGCTTTTCGTCATGAAGTTTTCTTACATAACCTGGCATCCTACTGAATGTTGAGAAAACACGATATACACTATTAAAGTACACATGGTTTAATAACATATAAAGTTTATAACCGGTCTAGAACTTGGAACATCATTTGATCTTGGGCAATGCTTAAATTTGGGGAAAAAAGAACTGCCATCACAATATTCCGAGTCATACCTCAATGGCCATGCATCCCCCTTGACCCATATTTGGCTGCATTGCATGGATAGAATCCCCAAGCAAGGTCACGCGCCCCCTTCCCCAAGTTAGTGAGGGTGTTCGGTCATATATGTCGCGTCGAAGAATATCATCTTCAGCAGTAGCAAGCAACAAATCTATCACATTATCACACCAACCCTCAAATATTTTAAGTAGCCTCTCCTTTTTACCTGTAAAAAATTCAAAATAAGAAGAATAAAACATTAGAATATATTAAACCAAATTAGAAATTAATAGTCAAATCCTATAATAGGTTGTGAACATTCAATATGAGCATTCTTATTAGTTGAAATTTTAAAGAAAGATTAATTAGTTTAAAATGTAAACATAATAAATAACTTCCAGGGCAACTAAAGCTTCTTTCAAAAATTTTGTTAGCTAATATAATGAATTCTAACAAATGAAAATTAGAAGGTAAAATACCATGGCTATCCACTCCACCAGCTGGTTCCTGGTGAAATGCATACCACTGCATCTTTCCAGCACCAACATCCGAGGAAACGAAGTACTGCTTGTGTCCCAAAAATACACGGTACCTTCACAGGAGAAGTTTCAATGTAAGCAACTATATGTAGCAAAGCCCCAGTATATTCTAGTCATCCTAATGCTTGTAAAAAGACAAACGTGTATAATGTGAAGTCAATCATATTATGCAAAACAAAAATGGAACATACCCAACGGACTCAATATCAGCAGGCACAAAATCTGCAATACCGGTATAGCAAGTGTATCCTGAGTATACAGCTTCCTTTGGCCCAAATAAGTTGTTCCTCACCTGAAAAGGAATTTCACAAACTATGATAGTGTTCGACATTTCAAGGGTTGAACATCTAGTGCCAAAACAATCAGTGTCATTGTTGGTGAAAACTTCAGCTGCATATAGATTTTGGTTTGGTTCAATTAGGGCAGACTAAATGAAAATAACTCATGTAGCTGACCCAAGTTTAATTATTAGTTCTAATTTTGTTTTGCTGTTGGTACCAGAGACCATACTGTCCATTCCCACTTTAGGTCAGCTCATATTTCCCCATACCTTGAGGCTTGTGAGCGTTCTTCTTACAACTGGACATTATGGCAAACAGATTATAGCATTTTTTTAAGCACCGAAACAGCTAAATGGAAAAACATTGATAACCAATCTGTCAAGGACATGTTGTCAAACTAAGCTTCAGAATAGGTTGTTAACAATCCAGAGTCTGAACACACAAAGACTATGTTCTGCAAGCACACATTAATATATGATGGTACCTTCGACCATATTCCATCAGCTCCAACAAGAAGATCACCTTCATAGCGCTTTCCGTTTTCCAGTATCACAGTGACCTGAACTTTTAAATTACATAATTACAAAAAATAAATAAAATATTAACACAAAATAATTAGCAAGAAGACAGAGACATGCAGAAAATAATCCCTGAAACCAGTTAGCTGAACATTAAAAGAAACAAATAAATAGAAGATTTCATGCTTTACTTTAGGAACAATGACTGTTAAGGAGATGACCTTGATCTACTAGCAACTCATATTACCTTACGTCCATCATCCTCAAAATCAACAACATTGCTCTCATTAAAAATTATGTCTTCCCCAACTGCACGAACCAGGATTTCTTGTAAAGTCATCCTACTAATAACTCTTGTGACTGGAAGCCCTCTTTCCGCTGCAGGGGTGAATGTATCAAACTTGATGTACCTGTTTAAACCATGTATCATTTAGGGTGATTGGATTCCCATAACCAACAGTCAGACAAGGCAGCCAAATAACAGTATGTGATCAGAAAATAGGAGTTCAGAAAATATTGCCCATAGCAGGGAGGTCTTCCTACATTGTCTCAACTAGTAGTAAACGTCAACTTACTAACATCTACCAAGTTTTCTTCTTTTTGGATTTCATAGTTACTTTAGTTTTACCCCTATTAACCAAAAGATAACACGCAATTCAAAATTTGCAATCACTGAATCAAACATATAGCAATCCTTACAAATCAATTACAGGAAAAAAAAACTTAATTCAAGAATCTTAAACAACTGACCAAGAACCGGAAACCCCGTCAACCAATCCATTAATTCTATCTCCAGTGATGCAACCGGCCTCCATTACTTTCTCAGCAACTTCCATATCAATAGCCTCTAAAGCAGCCAATGCATTGCTTTGTATCTGAATTGGACCCCTGTATTGCCCCTCACCTCTTATAGCACTCATATCCTTCTCAAACACCACTACATCAAACCCTTTCTTTTTTGCAGCCAATGCAAAAACCAATCCTCCAATACCACCCCCAGCAACCAATACCCTCAGCTTCTTCTTCTCCAATTGGTTCCCATCAAATTCATTCTTCTCACTTGACTTTGAAGCACTTTGGGTTCCTGCCACTGTGGCTTTGACTTGTAAAACTCTCTTCTTTGGGTTACTTGTTTTGCTTCTAAAATGGCATTTACAATGAATACAAGGCAAGGACTCTGTTGGAATATACTTAGAGATGGACACAGGAAACTGGGTTCCTGTGAAAAATGTTGCTGAAGGTTTTTGAAACGAAGTTGCAGCCATTGTTTTGCCAAAAAAAAAAAAACCTTCAACTTTCAAGCTTCGGTTCTTGATTTAAACAACCAAAAACAAGAACTTTGGTTTTCCTTATGTCAGAAGAAAAGTTCTGGTAACAGTAGCTTTTAGGAATGTAAACGAAGGCTTCAGGTAGACTCAGAGAGAAAGCAAATTGAACATATTTCCCAAGTTGACAGAGAGGGAAAGAGAGGGAAGTAGCAGATATTATAAGCCAATCGCAATTGCCAGTCATCTTTGAATGTGAAGTAAAGGATTGTGCTGCACCAACAATGGAGATCCCAAGGCCATGTGGCAGTCTCTCAATGTCCCACGGCACTACCTCGGGAAGAATATCTTTGACACATGTTCTTATCTTCTGTGGTGGTCATGGGTCACATATATGTATACTTAGCATTTTCCACTTCCAACCTCTTATTTTCTGGAGTTGAGTATAGTAGTACTAAATTGCTTAGCACAATTGACTTTTTATTACTGATTAATCAAATGGGTCATTAAAATAAATCATTTGTGTTTTAGGGCTTTGTTGTGCTATTATTATTACTATATAAAATGAAAACTTGCATTTTTTTGTTAAAAAACGCCCAATCAGTGAGAGTCGCTTTGTTTGCTTTGGAAACACAAATAGACGCGGTTTGGAGCATTGACTTTCCTGGCGGTGCAAAACTGCGTCCAGTTTCAACTCACTTCTCAATGCCTTTCGGTTCGATGCTTTTTAGATCTTCTTACTTGTTTGGTCTCAGTTACCTTACCACCTCCATGTTCCGACAACAGCCAGTGCCCTTCGTTGTCGATGGGACCCACTTTTAGTCAGCTCTTAACAAGTGGCATTTCGCCAGTTAATTGATTAGGCCGAGTCGGGCACTGCCATTACAAGGGATAACTGTTTAGGCCGAGTTTGACACTGCCATTGCAATGGATAGCTGTTTAGGCCAAGTTTGGCATAGATAATTTGTGTTTGGTATAGCGTAGAGAACGCACCCCTGTGACATTTCACCGCATCTTTCTCTGGATTTCACGTCTTCGATCTAAAATAAATGCGTAACAAATAGTAAAAGACTAATTCTTATAATTTTAAAATCAATCAATCTCTTATTATCATGAGATTTGAACCAACAAGTATCTCTTTACTCTTTTTTTAATTATAAATAAAAAATTATCAAAATATCTATTCAATTTTTATACTCTTTAATTTTATTCAATTTAATTCCTGAATTCAAATTCAAAATCAAAACAATTTAATCTTTGATTTTAAAATTTTTTTCAATTTAGTATTTCCTTCTAACGTCATTTAATTTTACCGCTAAAAAGACTGATATCTATGATAACATCAACGTTGATATGGCACATTTTGATGATGTGGAATTGAGATGATGACGTGGCATGTCATGTGACATTAACGTAATAATATGAGAATGGTACATGACACTAATATGATGATGTAATAATTCTAAAATAACATTGACATATTGACATGTCAGTACTACATGACAGATCAAAATATTTTTTAAATTAAAAAATTTTATTATGTTATAAGGACTAAATTAAATAAAAATATATAATACAAATATTAAATTGAACAAAATTAAAAAAATTAAAAAATATAAATCTTTAAGTTAAATATTTAAATGTAAAAGATTTCTATTTAAATACTTAAATATTTTTATTTTTTAAATATTTTTTTAATTTAGTCTTTCAACATCTCAATTTTGTTCAATTTAGTCCTTATATTGTATATTTTTATTCAATTTAGACTCCATAACATGATACAATTTTTTATTTTGAAAACTTTTTTATCTGTCACGTGGAACTAACATGTCAATATGTCAATGCCACATTAACATTGCTACATCATCATATTAGTATTACGTGACATTTTCATGTCATCCCGTAGGTGCCACGTGACAGGCTACATCATCATCTCAATGTCATGTCATCAAAATGTGTCACATTAGTGTTTGTGTCATCGCTAACATCATCTCATTTAACAGCAAAATTGAATGTCATTAAGAAAATAAACTAAATTAAAAAAAAATCAAAATCAAAGGATTAAATAACTTCAATTTTGAATTCAAGGATTAAATTGGATAAACTTGAAAAGTACAAGAATTAGATAGGTCTTTTGAGCAAAAATAACTTAAAAATTCATGAGTCACGCTGAAATTTTTAAGTTTAGACTAATATTTGAAAAAATATTGAACCTAGTAGTAACATTTTAAAATGTTTAACTAATTTACAAGTATTTAAAATTTTTTTTATTAAGCATTCAAATATTTGCCTTAATAACATGGAAATATATTTTTCATTAAAAAAAATGAAAGTTTTATTTTTTAAAAAATATTTATTAAATAAATTCTTAAAAGTAAGTAAATTATAACAATATCCATAATGCAACAAAACAAAAAAATAACCTTGCACAAATTCACGCTACAAAAAATCAGACAAATAAAATTCGTAAATCACAATAAAGCCATGTTTCTTTATATAAATAATTATCAATTAACGATATTGTTACATATTATTATATTATAATAAATATTTATTCAATATATCTATATGTACGTATTTATAAATTTCAAATAGCTTTCGTCCAAGTCTGAAAGAGCTTTGGGCTGAGTCCCCATCGGGGAAAGTTTGGGGCAGGCTCATTACTACTTCCACCATCACTGTTGAATGTCCTAAGCTCTCCAAACTCTAATAATAAAGATGTACCTTTCAAGGTCCAAGAGCTTGGGAAGCATTAAATCCTCTCCACACAAAAATTGAGTGAATTTTAATTTATTTCCTTACAATTATTTATTTATTTGAGAGTGTGGCTCTTCGAAATATTGAAGCAAAATTCTTGAATGTAGAAATTGTGAGATACAAGATATTAAGAATTGCATATCATTGTCGATAAAACACCTGAAAATGTAGCAATCAAGTGAAATATATTGACTACAAATATTCAAGGACAAAAAATGTAAAAAAATTGGGACCCCAGAATACATCTTACATCTTACATCATAATAATTGCTTCTTAAAAAAACCCAGTACATGCATCATGAATTCTTCAATCAATGTTTCATTTCTTATTTTCTTTTATTTGTGTGTGTGTGTGTCTCTTAGCCAACGAACCATTATTCTGTTTCTGTCCTATTATTTTTCATGATTTTTTGCTAATGCCATGAACCATTCTGTCACAATAATTTTGGGGTCTTAGTGTTGACTGTTTTGAGGGCATCGGGTAATATTTTACTTTAAAAATATTCTTTTGCTTCTTGCTTTGAACTGGTCATATTTAAAGATATTTAGTTTTATATCACAAGATCATTAAAGATATCCAGCGTCCACATTTATATTCTTTTCAAAATTTCTTTACTTGTTCATGAGATTAAAACACTCTATTTATTTATTTTTTAAACACTTGATATAACATTTATATGAACTTTATGAAAATTTTATGAGAAAAATGTTCAATAAAAACCAAACCTTTACAAATGGATGGGAAACCAAGTTGACAATTTTTTTTACAATTTAACAAGTACAAGATTTTGACTGTTGATCATGTGTAAACGATTCTTTTCTTACGGTGGTTAAAACTATATAACTGTAAAAATCAATTGTAAATATTAAAAAAGAAAGAAAGAAAGGGAAAAGAAAAAGGATCTCACAACTATATATCCTCAGGATTTATGGGTTAATTTTTTTTTTTTTTTAAAAAGGTGCTCATTATTTAGCTGCTCCATAATTCATATGGCCAGGGCCTAGGCAGAAACTGATAAATTAGCAAGCGGTGGAAATGCAATATGCCATGCATTGGGAAGCATAAATGTGCAATGCTTTATGGTTATATAATCTATAATTGGATTTGATGTCCACATCCTTACGATGAGGCCACTGCCCTACACACAGAAATGGGCATCGGCTGCCACAGAATTAACTGAGGGACCACACACAGACATGGCCAACCATATGCTTTTCCTGGTGAAACTTCTCACTCATCTGCTTAACAAATTTCTCCAAATATCTTTACATTTCTATGTACTTTTAACATTCTCATTACTAGCTTTTGGAGTTGTTTTTTCCTTTGTTTTTTCCCTTTCCTTTTTTGTTCAAATGAATAATAAAACCAGAAAAAGATGGGGCTCAAAGCTTCCTAACCTTTTGCTGCAAAGGTAAACTACTAAATCTAAACTCAAAATTTCTTTTTGAAAGGTAAATCTAAACTCAATTTTTAACTGTTACAATTATGTTTTGACAGTGTTGCAATCTACCCTTTAATCTCCATCTTCAAACTCAATGTACAAAGATGCTAACCCCCATCCAATAGTCGCCTTGTTCTTATTGCTCAACGTTCTTTGGATATGTACCTAGTAGTTTTATTCTTTTCTTCTTGTGTTTTTTTGTTGTCTAGTGCATGTGGGATTAGGTATATCCATTTTACTTGAATCTGAGTCTTCCTTTTCTTTTTTCATTTTCATTTTCATTTTTCTTTTATTGTCGAATCTGAGTTTTCAACTAGTGTTAAAAATAGAAGGAATATATGTAGAAAACGATAAAATAAGCCTTATCTTTGACAGAGATTGCTGTTAAAACGTTTAATGCATAGTTCGTCAACATTCCTGGCCTTTGTATTCAATGACTTGATGCAGCATTTGGCTTTTTGCAACCCGATGATGCAACCCTTCTTGAGGCTTGTCTAGATGCAAACAAATCTTTGTACCAAATAAAAGGATAGCTTACTGCAAAGCATAAATCTATGTAAAAAAGAAAAAAAATGAAAATGAAAGTAAGAATTAAAAGACCATCTGTATAATTAGTCACAAAGAGCGGTAAAAAAATCAGCGTTCAAACAAGTTCTTTTCTTGTCTCAATCACCCTTTTAGACAAGCTTGCCAGCAAGCCAGAATCGCTATTATTTTGTTGAAGTCTAGCTCTTGTGGTACTGTATAAGCAAACAGGCTAAGACTCTTGCTGTGGTGATTGAGAGTGAATGAAGAAAGGTTCTGTTTCTTTGAGCCATCTGGGTACATTTCCAAGCCCAGGAGCATCAGACTACCGTGATAATGGCGTGGTGGTTGCTCAAAAAGGGTGGAGTTCAGAGAGAGTGCCACATCCAGCTAATAGCAATGGTAGTAGCAGGAGACATATCAGTGCTTCATCTTTGACACCTTTTTACAGTGGTAGAACATTGCCTTCCAAGTGGGAAGATGCTGAAAGGTGGATTTGTAGCCCCGTTTTGGGTTACGGTGTTAGCAAGAATGCAAACCATCAGCTTCAGAGGCGGCCAAAGTCTAAAAGTGGACCGATTGTGCCTCCTGGAATTGCTTTCTACTCCAATTACTCGCCCTCAATGCAGCTACTTGATGGTGGAGGTAGTGGGAGCGTGAGGAATTTGATGGCAGGGTCTCCATTTTCTACTGGGGTTTTGATGGCTGATGGGGTTTCTGTTCATTATGGTGGGTGTAGAGGCTCTGTTGCTGGTGGAGATGGTGACAGTGAACGATCTTGTATGGTGCAGGATGATAGTAATGTGGCACGATCCGCTATTATACCTGGATGGTCAGATTTGGTTAGTGAGTCTTCATTGCCCAGCTCTCAAGGTATAGTGTTCTTTCTGAGTTTTGAGTATAATTCTGCTTGCAATTTTAACTTAGGCTGCTGTACTTCGTACTTATCTGCTGATCTGATTGTGGAAGTTAAAGAACACAAATTTGGGTGTGTAGTATGCCCTATAGGCATGAAATTTGGTTAATCACTGCCCTTCCTTGTTCATCCAATCCAAAGTAGGATAAGGTAAGCCCCATAAAACCCAATTAACTTATCATGATCAAACTCCAAATTGCAGATCAGACATTCCAACAATCAATCTCAGTTTTGTTAAATCTAATTAACCAGTAAATGATTAATTGTAAATAGTGAAGTTCTTAAAGATGCATCTGGATTCTAGAAGGAAACTGTAAACTGTCCTTGTATAGATAGGCATGCCCCGAGGGAAGAATAATCACATAGCTAAGACTTTTGCAGCTGCTTGAACCTCTGTGTTGCAGAAGTCCTGCCTGGTAACTAATAATGAAGTGTGTTGCAAAATGTTAGCTTCAAATTGGAAAAAGGTCTCTGTTTGAGTTTACGACTTGGAACTGCTGTCACTACACAAAAGAACCTTTTCTCTGGCCCAGACACCCGAATATAGTGATGGATTGAAAGTTAAAAACTATAAGAAGGCTATAGCTTCGACGTTGACTTAAACCAATGAATTAGATGTCAGACAAGATGTATATCATCAGGATTAGGAATTTTTCATGTTAACTCCATTTTTATTAGCTTCAGAATGATGCATGATTTATTTGTGTGCAAATTTCCTGATGTTGGATCAATTTGTTACAGATGAAAAACTTGATGAAATCAAGGATGCAGAAACGATGATCTCTCGCGTAGTTTCACGGAGGGATATGGCTACACAAATGAGCCCTGAGGGCAGTAGCAGCCACTCTTCTCCCAGAGAGAGATCTTCATTTTGCCACTCACCTCCTCTGCCTGCTGTGGAGAACAGTGATCATCCTTCTAAATTGGACATCAGGGAAGTGCAGATAGACAAACGAGCCACCATGACCAACTGGCCCAAAAGATATGGATCAAGAAGAATCAAGAAAGGCGTGGCAGATTTCGAAGACTTTTACCAGAACAACACGGCAGGTTCTGCTTTATCTCTGGATGTTTCAGAGGCAGCAACAAGCATTTCAAAGTATGTTTTATTGCCCTGCTCCTTAATATGTGTCCTGCGTCTTCCATTAAACGAAGCAAAATTTCGAAAACAAACACTACGAACAGACTCCTTTACACTTTGAGGCAACCTTAACGCGTAATATGAATCTTGAAATTAGATAATACATGTTCTGCCTTGCTTTATGGAGTCAACAATGTAGCTTTCAAAAGTGGGGGCCAAGATCAGGGCTTTTCGCAAAGAGGATTGAGTTCTATAATTTCACCGAGTAGTAACTGTCAATGCTATAGGTTGTCTTTAATGTTCAAGGAAATTTCAAAGATTCAGTTCCTAGATAATATTGCACCATGATTATAGGGGCTGGACCTGCAGCTTTATTATGTTCAACAAAAACTTGAGGTATGCATCGACTGAGACACAGTTGTCAGAAATATAAAAGAGCTTTTCTAAAAGAAGTTTTAATTGCGTGTTCAGGTTGCATAGGGAGGAAGCAAAGATCAACGCGTGGGAGAATTTGCAGAGGGCAAAAGCTGAGGCAGCCATTCGAAAACTAGAGGTTCAAATGCGCGCACTGGTTCTGTCATTGTTTCTTTATCTAATAACTTAAGCTTTAAGCTTTCTTAAAATCTTTTTGGCCTTTTCTCTTTACCTTTTCGTTCTATGTGATACCACAATCCTTTAATGTTAGCTTAAGAGATGCTTTTCCCAGTAGGCAAACATCTAGAATCAAGGGGCACTGATGCGGTACTGTGTTTTACTCTCAGATGAAATTGGAAAAGAAGAGATCAGCATCAATGGATAAGATCTTGAGCAAGCTAAGAATGGCTCAGATGAAAGCCGAAGAAATGAGAAGTTCAGTGTCAGCCAAGGAGAATGAGCAGATTCCAAAGACTTCTCAGAAGGCTTCATTCTTCAATATCCGCATGAGTTCCTTCGGCAGTTGCTTCACCTGTCATGCTTGCTAGTTTCTCGCAATGTAAATCTCCATGTCCATGGGCTCAAATCTTTTCCACCAGGTACAGTTATCAACGATGGATTTATTGATCCCAAATTTTGTATATGCCTGCTGGTTTCTCGGCTTCCCTATTTTTTCATGTAACATTCCTGAACTCTTAGGCCGTCTCTCCAATCTGAGTTAGAGAAGCCGCATTGGGTCACTCATAGGTCCAGGAAACTGCGGATTTCAAGTTCTTGTTCTTAGCGGATTGGAGTTTTTGTACACAAAAAAACTTATCTGGAAATGTCGTCCGAGATGGTTTCAAAGTCCGCTACCAAGGCATCAGGTTGCTCCGGTCCTATATACTGGTGTTGGTGAACCACCCTTTGGTTCGGAGTATTAAATACAGAAACACAAACTCTATATTTAACAGGGCACCTACCAACTATTCGTTAAATATTTGCATTTTTGCCAAACAATTGAACCTCTACATGCCACTTACAGTAAAGTTTCAAACTTGGGGAGTGAAAAAGTTTGGCTAAAACTGATACACATGCAGTGTTTTAATTAGTCAGAAATTGAGGTCAGAAAACATAAGGATGCTGGAAAATCAAAAAATAAAAAACACATCAAGTTGCCACTGTTAAATGACCATCACATACTTCTTGACTGTGGGAATACAAGCGTTTCTTCCCCTGCCCTGCCTGGGATCGAATAAGTAAAAGGCAGTGCGACCTCTGCTTCAATATGCCGGCGGTAGGGTGTTATGGCAAAGACTCATTAGCTAGCACTTAAAAAAAATCATGCCACAGCATAAAATTGATGACCCTATTGCAATACACTCTTGAATTATAATCAAATTAAATAAAGAAATATGTTGACACTAATTATTTGCATCAAGACTATAAGTAAATGCATTAATTAGAGACTTCCAACTGGAATATTTTCTGCACAATCTGAAAAGTATGGCTCCATATAAACATGATTTATAAATAGAAGATAGTCACAATTACGTTAGGCAATCATCAAGATCATTTAAGAAGTTCAACATTTGCCATCCAGAACAATCTCCACAGCAATACCATGGCCACTTCTTAGTATGGCCTATACCTCCACTCTGCTCTCGATGGCCTTGCACTCCCAATTGCATAACCCCACTGCTACACGAAATGAATAATACATAAATAAGCATAACGAACACTGTTTATGAATATAAACTAATTTTCCCCTTCTTAAGAATCAGATTAACCTCAAAATTAGTTCATCTTTCTTTGAAAGTGCACCCAAGTCCTGAAGTAATTGTCTAATTGTTGAAGTTGTTATTTCCAAAATATATATATATAGACATAAACACTCACATCATCAAAATGCAGGCCTCCATACATCCTACCAAAGGGGCGCATTGGACCACCAAAGCCTCTATATGGTCCAGCAGGATTCATCATTAAACTAGGGCCAGCATCATCAACAGGTGTTGCAGAATCTATTGCCACCTGGATAGCAAGTTCATTGGTAAAATTTTATGAGTTTGAATCAACATAAGCTGTGGCATTTAGCTCTCATTTTATGCAATACACAGAGAATGGAAGCTTGAAATAATAATTTAAATAAAGGCACGTAACTAACTGCAGGTGAAAGCAGGCTTGCCTATACATGTACACTTTAGAAAAATGGCAAACTACATAGGGCTAATTAGATTGATTTAAACATTTCAACTTGTAGTCATTGCAAGATGATCTTAAAATATTTTTTCCTTCTGTGGAACTGCTCTCTTTCTCTCTCTAGTTTGTAGAGATTTTTAGAAGTAAATGCCTTGCAAAAAATTTCTAATAACAAGTCATAACATTTTTGGGGTTACAAATATATTCTGTATATACTACCTCATGACCTTTGTGCATAATGGAGCTTCCACAATGATTCACAGCAGTAACGATAATAATTGATGTTTTCCAAATCAATTTAGGCCAGTAAATCATAATTGAGTCTCCTCAAAATTGCAGAGGATTACCTAAGAACTAGAGTTAATTTCCATAACCAGGAAAATGGCAATTATGGCTGCACATAATCAGCATATCATCCAAAAACTTGGCCTGTTTAACATGCTATCAAACACTCATAAATCTAAAGACAACGTAACTCTATCACAATCGGGCCTCAATCAAATATGAGGAAATGAGAAAAAAACTTGTTTCCATGTACCTGTTGTCCACAAATCTCATGAGATCTACGAGATACTCGGTCTGCAACTCCATCTTCAGCAAAAGTGACAAAACCAAAACCTCTGTGGCCAGATCTCTTGGGGTCCTACATTAAATGAGCATCCAAACCTTCATAAGCTGGCTCCAACTCATCTCTCATTTGTACATGATATTTCATCACCTTACCTTAGGAACATAAACATCTAGTATACGCCCAAATCTACCAAAATACTGGCGAAGATCTTCAGCATTAGCCTCCTGAGGGAGTCTGCCGACAAATATCTTTTTGCCCATCCCTCGACTTGATTCCCCTCCTAGTTCAACATAAAGGGAAAAAACGACAACCTGAATAAATATAATTCCATAAACCAATGTCTCTGCTAGGAAGGAACTTACTTCCATACACAGGGCCAGGATGGTCATACAAGGTAGGAGCACCAAGTGCAGCATATCTAGTTGCAGCAGAAATGTATGCATTGTACGCACCATATCCACCTTGTGACATTCTGCCTATTGGTTTAAAGTCATCCTCCTGTCAACATAATATCAAATAAGTGACATTAAAGCCATGTCTATTGAGCATATTCGTGATATTGCCAGGGAAAAAGAATATGAGAAACTAAATTGTGATTTGTCCTGTATGAAAAGATCAAACTTGAACTTTAGAGAGGTAAAACAGGTAATTTACTGTAGCAATAAACACTGGCAGTGACGTAACTTGCCTTTGGTGTTGCTCGATCAACTACTACTGTAGAACCTCCCAGTTCATGAGAATCAACCATCAGATTCTCCACAGAATCTGTAATTGTAAACGAGTATTAACCTTGTTTTCACTGGTAGAAATAACATGAGTGGAGGAAGGAGACTACCATATCACAATTCTAAACAACAGATGGTTCTTAATTGCATAGGTTGACATTTCAATTGGAAAAAAGGATAAGAAGGTAACTTGTAGCAATGTGATCTAGTAGACAACCAATTACAATAGCCAAAGGTCAAATGGAAGCAAGCAAACCATGTGATGCAGAAAATTAACTGAAAGCTACTAAGTAAGGAGCAGGATAAACAAACCTGCACTAGCAAAAGTGATAAAACCAATTCCACGGTGAGCTTTGGAGGCTTGATCCTGTGGCACACATGCTTAATAATCATCCAAGAAAATTCTAGCAAAAACACTACTACATGCAACCTTAAGAAGAACACAGACATACAAACACATAGAGAAAGAGTACCTTCGGCATGTATAAATCCGTTATCTCACCATACTCCTCGAAATGGCTGTGAAGATGAATAGATTGATTGTTATATTAATTCCTCATATAGCTAACCACATTATTTGTTCTTCACCCTTTGAACATGATTAGTCAGCTCATACCAACAAAGGCATGTTTTGAGTTGAGTTGACATATCAAGCTCAAAAAATAAAGAGAAAATATTAAAAAAAAGAAGCACTACCATGATTCATATATTGCAATTAATTACCTCCGAAACGTTGATTCGTCCACTGATGGTGGAATCCTGGCTACAAATATCCTGGTTACTTTCTTTGCAGGTGCTCTCATCTCCTCCTATGAAGTATGATAAAAATGAAGCTATTGATAATGACTAGAAAAGGACTAGTAAAGCAACAAAAATTTTCAAAACAAAAAAGGGGCATAAGTTTATATAATTAAACCTTTGGAGTAGCTATTTTAACTTCCAGCATTCTCTCACCAAGAAAATGCTCAATTGATAGCACATTCTGTAGAAAATGAACACCAAGCATAATTTGTTATCACGTGATCGCAGTTTACCCCCCATCCCAACACCCCTCAATTAAAAAAATGTAAGGGACAGAAAATTACTGGTTACCTTAGCATCATCAGCGGATGCAAATGTTACATATCCAAAACCACGAGATCGGCCCGTTGATCGCTCCTAGATAATGGAAGAAGCACATTTATAATCAATGGACAACATTAAGAGAGATAGAGAAAGAGAGAGAAGGCGAAGAAGAAAAAGAAAAAGAAAAGGAATTTATCCACAAAATTAAGCAGTTCTCCTAGGTAACACGTGATAAACAAACTTGTAAAGAAGAAAACAGAATATAACTTCATGACCCTTGGCTATTTTCACATAGAGTAGAGCTTCTACTAATTCTTGTCTGTACCTTTCTGACACATCAGCCACCACAAAATACCCCCCCATGCAAGTTAAGTGAAGGAAATTACAATTTTTTACATATACAAATCAATCGTAAGCTAAAAAATACAGAAAAATCCAGAAAAAAATTAAAAAAAGGGGAACCTTCATGACAATACAATCCTCCAAATCACCAAATTTACTCATATATTCCCTCAAACCTTCAGTATCCACCTCCCACGGGATTCCCAAAACCTACAATAAAAGAGATCATCAAATTCAACAAAATCACAAAATACCCATCAATAAAAATCCAATCTTTTACCAAAATAACAAGAATTAGGGACAGAAAACTAACCACAAGCTTTCGGTCCATGGAGAAAATCGGAGAATTCAAGCCAAGAAATGAAAATCGTCGAAAACCCTAACACACTCAATAAAAGCTCTCACAAAATTCCTCTCTTAATAAATCTCTCACACTCCGTCTCTTCCTCTTTCTCTTCCTCTTCCTGCACACAATAAGCACACGCTCTTTCTCACACAGAATCATCACCAAATACGAAATCAAATTCACCATTTTTTAATTCTTTTTTAATTTTAAAAACAGCTAATTAATTGTAGTATTAATCAAGAATTATAAGAGGTTTTCACTTTTATATTAATTTTTGGCGCTCACTGACCTGACCAATCCAAAACCCTAATATTTGCAGAAGAAGATCTCTCTCCCTCTCTCTCGCTCGCTCGCTCGCTCGTTCTCTCCCTCCCCGCTCGCTCGTGCCGCCTTGAGTCGTTATCGTAATTCGGATAGTGGCCCCCTTCGCTTCCTTTTGTAGCCCAGTTGGGCTAAATTGGGGTAGTTAGCGGACAACTGTGGACCAGTAGCGGCGTGCCACCTCTACATTGGGAAAAGTCCGCTAAGCTAAATCAAAAATGGGCCCAGCCTTATATATAGTAAATTATTTATGGGCTTTTATGCTGCCCAGCCCGTATTATACGTTCGAAACCTTCTCTCTCTTTTTACTCATTAGTATAATAATTTTTTTTTAAAAAAAAAAACACCGGCGCTTATTTACATGAATTTTTTTTATTGACGAAATCTACCCCAAAAACCAATTTTTCCTTTTATATATGAATAAAGTTTTATAATTTTAATTTATGATTTTTGTTTAGAAATCCATCCATATTGGAATCACTTTCTTTATTATTAGAAGCTCCGTTTTTATGCAATACTTCTTTCATTAATATTTTTTAATATGTATCCTTGTCTAATCTTATTTTAAGATATTTATTATAGTTGCATTTTAAAACGAATTTGGTAACAAATAATTCAGATTAATTTAATGAATAAGAATGGGATAGTTACTAATGAAGCAGAAACTACAAATCTTTTTTTTTTCTTGGAAAGTATGGGTAATATGGTGCATCAGCTAAAGCACAAGGTGGATTGATCCGAAGGAGACCGTTTCCTTTCTTCTAGCTTGTAACAGGGTTGACATTGTTATGGTTTCGAACTTAGGCTAGAAGCTCCGTTAAGTATATGAAAAATTGAAGTTAACAGAGAGCAAGAGAAAGTAGACTATGATAACAAGGTAGTGTATTGATCTAATTCATTAATGATAAACAAAAGACTCATATACAAAACATGCATGAAGAACACTTGTACAACAGCAAAACCAGTGTTAAGCCTAATTATATGCACCTGAACACGCAAGAAACAGGGGTAACACATAAGCATTTTTCATGACCAGTACAATGAAGCAAACTGATATAACATACGAAAGCAAACTTAATCAAGATGCTGTCCACGTGCTACATACAAGTCCTGACTTCATAGCAGACATCAATGCAGACTGCGGAGTGTTCCAAGACGTGGAGAATGACCTTCTTTGTGCTCTTTATAGTTGCAATACAATGAGATGATCTTCAAACTTTTGATATCATAAAACGTAGGTGGCATAAAGCCAAATGTCCCAAAGTTATGAACTCGATCACGAGCATCTTACGACACCTTGCCATGGCGATGGCTCCTCAAAAAGTAAAACAACTGAGAATGTCCACTAGATCGAATGCTTAATTATTAGTTAATGAAGAAGTGTTTATTGTCTTTATCGTCTCCAAATGAGTTCATTCTCATTGCTTGTTGGTTGAGACTTGAGAGTGATTTGGCAATTGTCGTTAGTTGGGTGCTTACCTTAACACTACTCCATGGAGATTGAGAAATCTCATGCTGCATTTTGAACACCCAACACAAGCTGCGTCGAGCAAATAAAATGCAGACCAGCTTGCTAAAAAGAGGGTACAGAGGTCACAAGACCTGCGGCTGATGTTTGTGTAAAGACGTGATGCAGGAACAGAGCGGGTCTGTTCTGAGATAATTTTTGCAACTGAAATGTAAAGGGAATGGTTAATAGGTCTGATAGCCGATTGTATACTGATGGTAAGTGTTGAATACTTTTACGGATTTGATGCTGCCTTAGATTTGGAGTGCTGTGTGACGGCTGGTAACGTCAGGCCATGTCTGTGGCTTCAAGTCTCTTGTTCTATCAAGGCAGGGGAATATTTTGTTTTTTGGTAGATTACAGCTGCTGCGGGACTAAGGTTTTTCCAGGGAGATCCAATGCAGTGTTCTTAGTACTACCTAAGGTGAGGTAGTATTTTGTAAATTGCTCTTTCATTTACGGGGTCCTATTCTGCTTTTCAAAACAAAACATGACTTACGCCTGTTTTATCAAACCCAAAAATAGTTACCATTCATTGAGTTTGAGGCTAGCAGGAAAGTATATCAACACTCAAATTCATCACAACTTTTAAAGTTTATAAAACAATAGACAATTTATACACAATGAAATCTTTGTTTCGTAAAGAAATAAAAGTCTGTACGTGGTTATACCAGAAAGTCATGCTACGGCTGGCATGAATTAGTTTATTACAAATCACCAAGAGCTATAGACAAAGAATTTAATGTATGATGAGTTTGGTTTGGACTGACTTCAATTTGTCTTCTTGGAGTCACTGTTAGGATATTCGACTTGATCGAATGTTGTGATAGATCCCAATCGAGTTGCGTTAACGTAATCTTGGGGATTATGATCCGCCATGCCTGGAAAAAGAAGTGCAGGAAACCTGATCATCAGAATCAGCGGTAAGCCCTCTGTGTATTCCTGTCCCTTCAACAATGGTAGATAAAGGCTCCTTAAAAGCTCCGATAATGCATTAAAGAACCTGCGTATCACTCCGAACTTCGAAAAGTAATTCTTGTGTGGTTCTTCATCAAGTATCTGCAACCCAAAAGACATATAAAAATCCAAAAAAAAAAAATCTCTGTTCTGCTCTATGCTTGAAAGAAAGATTCACCTGCCCGTTGTAGCGGCTATTGAAGTAAATGCATGCCCCAAAGTGATTGTACAGGGAAAAAACAAGATCCTCCGTAGTCATAGGTAATCTAGGTATGATATCATTACAGTAAACAAACCTCAGATATTTTATACCATATTTTTTAAACCGGTCTTCCATAAACTTTTTGAACTTAAAATCTCCGACTCTGGGCTGCCCAAAGGTATAAACCCCTTCCAATCTCTTTAACAAAGCTTGTTCTTCATTCCATGGTTTTTCATGCAATGCCAGGATAGCCGGAAATAGAATTGCAAGTGCCCCACCCAGGCTGTGGCCAGTCACTATAAATTTGGCTTCCTTATTTGCCTTCAACCTTCTTCTCAACTCCTCTCTTATGCTGTAATAAGCCAAGTTCTTGCCTTTTTCTTCAGCTGGGAGCTCAGGGGGCCAACCTTGTTCCTTTATTAAGCCTAGAGCTTTCATAAACCCACCATGGACCTTTCCCATTTCCTTGTTCTCAAAGCAGGAGATATCCACGTCGGTACTCCAATCATATGCATTAAAAGGCTCAGTACCTCTAAAGGCAACAACTATCTTATTGGCCCTTCGATCATGAAACATGAAGCCCTGCGTGTTGCGTTTGCTTTGAAAATCTGCCAAAATTAAGTGTACTTAATTTCGTTAATATGATGCTTAATCCTTTTGTTTTTGCTTGTGTGTGTGTGTGTGTGTGTGTGTTGAAATTAATATGAACGAAATACAAATTGTTTCTCCTACCATTCAAGAAGTCGTAGTCCATATCAATGAATTCCATCTGCACCAAGTTGTAGACTCTTCAAAGTTTGAACTATTATTTATAAATATGCTTTATAATAACAATTTAAAGAGGATATTTCAATGATTAGAGCTTAAAAATCTTTTACGTGAAGATTTTATATTCAAACATTTAGTTTAGATGAAGTTTATCAGTTAAGAGATACTAGAATTTTACATTTTACACTTCCCCTTCTGCACAATCCAATGAATATGAAGCCAATTTAAGGAGGGATGGAAAATTTGGAATTTAGGACCCAAAAATTTAGAAGGAATTTAATTTACCTTCCAATGTTGTTCAACTGTTTTTTTGATAAAGCCCTTGTTCTCATAAGCTAATTTAGACGCCATTGCAGCCAATGCTGAATTGTATCTGGCATTTCCAGGTTTTATATTCTCGTCCAATTTAACTCGGCTGTCCAGATGTCCAATGAATGACACAAAAGCACCTGATGTACGGTCAGGTACATTCACCTTACCTATACAAGCAATGCGAATACAAATCAGTCTGTTAGTAATTACTGCATGAATTCATTAAACATTGTACGTAGCATGCAAGAGGAAAGAATAATGTAACGTTGACTGACATCGCAAAACGTTTAGCAAGAGCATGAAAATGTTTCTATTGAATGAGACGAGGTTCAACGACATCTCAATCATCCGTCCAAACCATTTCAAGGGCTCTGCAAAATGGAGCAGAGCCTTTTGAGCAATCAGAGAGGCGATTGCGAGCCCATTTTCAAGGACTCGTTCTTCCACACTCGGTGGTACAGAGATATATGCTTTTTTCTGCATCTTTTTGCTCCATAATAATCCAAAAACCTCCCATGCTCTGACCTCTTCTGGCGTTAGCAACAAATAATTGCTTGCTCGGTATTTTTCCATGTCTTGATCCATGGCTTAGAAAGAAAAAAGATAGATATAAAATTGAAGATAGAAAAGGCTATTATTTGGCTGTGAACTCAATGTTGTCATAACTCATAACTCAGCTGCTTATATATTGCAGACATATTTTTGGAATATATGCTTAGCTTTGTAACCCATCCAAAAGGACAGTGAAAAGGATGTGCTACTTTTGTATTGGAATGTCACAAAGGAATGGCGAAAATATTAATTAAATAACGATTTATAGACATATTAATATTAATTTCTAATTGATATTTTAGAAGGCTTAATCATTATTTAAACAAAGCATAAATATGAAAAGTTTCTTATCGCTAACGAGGTTGGATTTAGGTTCTTGAGCATTTGCTAAACGTAGATTAGCAGCTGCTCAATTAATGTATAAAGTAATAGTTTGAAACTTAAAATTAAAGTTAAAAAATTGTACATGAAAAGGGAATCAAGGAGGAGAGATTTCAAGGTATACGCCATGGAAATATGAGGTTCTGATTGCTTAGCCATGTAGTAAATGGAGATTCTAGTGAATTCTTTTCTTCGGTCAAGAATAAAAACGAATATATGCCAAGAGTGGCTATCTGGGAAAAGCACTAGTTCTATCAAACGAGGAACACATTTCACCTCATCATCACCTACAATTTCATCGCTTACAACACATAGGTGCAGAATATCTGACATAGATAGATTTTTTAAAAAAATAATTTTATTAACCTAATCACCGACATGTTATTATATGTCTCTAGCTAAAACAGTAAGTATATATATATATATATATATATATGGGCTGAGATTGACTTATATATTTGAAATTGAAATTCATATCCATTCTACTTAAATTATGTATCTATATATAATAAATAGAATGTTAAGAATATATAAATAAGAAATAATTATCTGAGTCAGGTTGAATTTAATTATTAGAAGAGAAAATGAACTCAATTTTCTTAATCAGCCTCATATCCAAGAACTAATATATTAAGTCTTTATTACAAGATAGCAAATTCATATTAAAGTTAATTTTTAGGGATGAAAATATTGAAGAGATATCAACTTATTTACTTTATTTGCTAAACCAAAAATAAAATAAAAAAATAACCATTGAAATCCTTTTGAAGGCTGAAACTTCGACTTTAAGATAATGATGAAAACTAAATAATACCAAAACTTGAGAGATTATATTAGTAGCTCGTTATTTTACTCAACAAAAAAATATGAAATCTAGACAAAATGTTATTTCAGATTATCCAAAGCATAGTATTTTTCACTTGTTATAAAATAAATATTTTACAAAGTCAGATATCATATAAAAAGTCAATTTCACATATTCAATTCAAAAATATCTTATGAAAAATCTCATAATATCAAAGTTAATATCAAAACTTAAGAAATTAGAGAATCGTGGTAATAACATGTTATGAAATATAAATTGAAAAAACAACTATAAGAGAAAAGTATTAATGAAAAAAAAGATTTTATTAAAGAGTATATATATTTATAAATGAAGTGAAAGGTATATTTATAAGTTAATAACTTCTCAAATCTTAATTTTAAATTAATTTAATCTTTATCCAAATCTAAATATACAAAATCAAATTTAAAAGTTCAAATCAAATTACATTTCTTGTGTCTAACCTATTAGAATATGTGAATTGAACTGAACTTTTAAATCATAACATAATAGATATTTATACATATATTTATAACAATTATTATTTATAATTTTCACTATTATTATTATCATTATTTATAATTTCTCTTATTTGAAATTAATTTTTTTATAAATATTCAAAAATGAGAAAGTTTCCCCACGCGAAGCGGGCACCATACTAATGAATTATAAATTTTACACAAATAAATGATAAATAAAGATATATTAAGAAAATAATAGAGGATAGTGGAGCCCCTAGAACTTATCACAAACTTTAGTTAACAAAATTCTGTCAAAACAGCCCATATTTCAAGTAACTTATACTTGCTAGAATAATGCTTAGGATTTAATTAATTAGGATCAACGTCGATCTTGAAACTTGTTATGGACTGAGAACCACCAGCTTTTCCCCTTAATCACTCTTAGAATCTCCACTGCTAAAGCTCCAAGCAATTGCTTCGTCGCATGATTATACGTACGCGGTCGGTCTACATATATACATTTCTTCTCAAACTCCCCCTACGTTTATCCCCTTAACCTGGTTATTTTTATTTCTTTATTTTGTTTTTTTTATCAATTACTATTATCAATTATATCTTAATTAGTAGCTCAGTGTAATCACTCAAGCCTTAAACTACAATCCACATGTTTAAGCCAATATTTGACGACCGAATAAGATATTTTTATATTTGTATATGTACAAACTATTATTTATTGATTGAGATAGCCACGTTTAATGTATCTTTTCCTTTTGTTATTTATTTCACCTGTCAAAATTCAAATCTGTCATCTCATACTGTTTAAGAAAACAAAAGTATTAGTACTATTAAGCTATATATATTTAATTAATTATTCTAATATGTCATTTGGAAATATTATCTCTTATAGATTAATTTAGGGTAGTATGTATATTTTCATGGAAAAATAGCCATTGCTTTTTTTTCCCTTTTTCCCTTGTTTAAGTTACGAAGTTAGGCATATACCTTCACAAATCGTGTCTACAATATCTACTCTGAGTCAATATTAAATTACTACTCCTATAAATTAATTATAGTTAACATCAAGTCACCCTAGACCATATGGCTTCTCAGTCTCACAAGTTTTCTGGCAACTATTTGGTGTTGAGGCCCAACCAGGTGAGCGTTTTCGATCTCTTTCGCCTCCTCTGGAGCCATGAGCTGGAGAAGAAAGCATTTGTGGAGTGCCCACCAGAGAAATTTCGGGAAAATTTCCGTCGCAAATGGCTTATATTCATGTCTCTCTCAGCCCAAAAGCTTCTGCTTCATGCTGCAAAGCCCCTGAGATGGTTCGGAGAAAAGCTTGAAATGTGGGTGAACCTCGTCTCCTTCAACCGCAACATTTTTGTGCTTTTGCTCAACTTTTTGCGAGGTTATAAATTAGCCCCTTTCACTGATCTACTGCTAATGTTATAAATGCTTAATTACAAAAATAACTTGGAGAATGGGGAATGATATTTTCTGTCACAGGTAAGGTGATAATGCCTGAAAGAGATTCGGAAGTTTTCCTATCATTCCTAGGAAGTCTAGACAGGCGAGTTGCATTAGACAAGAATATAAAACCTGGAGATAGCAGATACTATGGGGCACTGGCTGCTATGGCTGCTAAAATATCCTATGAGAACAGGGCTTTTGTTGAAAGAATAGTCAGAGATCACTGGAAGGTAAATTTTATTCTTAAAAAATTTGAATCTATCCTTGTTTGGCGTCACAGTCACAGTCCTTGAAGAGGCAGAGTAATTCATAAAATAATAACAAAAAACAAGTTGATAGATCAAGCAGTTAAAGAGACTGTATTTTTTAGTATTTGTATATATGTTTTGTAGATAATTGCTTTTCCCTCTTTTTTTTCCTACATTTCATGCAATGTATACATACATATAAGAGTTTACAAATTGGTGCAGATGGAATTACTTGGTTATTACAGCTTCTGGAATGGTAAGAAACGAATCCAAATCTTTTTCAATATTCAAATTAAATGTTTCATGGTGGGGTAGCTCATGTACAGGATTCTTATTCTCTGGGTGCTCATGCTAGGTTAAGCCCATTATTTTTTGTCTAGGGGCTTTTTTCTCTTTTGATGGGAGCTGCCAATAGCTTTTTGAACAGCCACGTGTCTTGTAAATGTATGGACATCTTCCCTCCAAAGCTAGATTTACAACGCCAATATGAGTCTTCCACCACCATGGTTCAAGACTTATCATGGCATACTAGCTGCTGGATTAATAATACCAACCACTTTTCACAAAAAAAAAAAAAGTTTTGGAAGCTAGTCTTCATAGTTCATACTGACAAAAAATTCCACATCTTTCGGCAGATTATCAAAAGAAAAGCAACACGCAAGCCTTTATGGTTCATGATAGAAGAACTGACATGATAGTTGTAGCCTTCAGAGGCACTGAACCCTTTACTGCAGATGATTGGAGTACTGACGTAGATCTTTCCTGGTATGAACTTGACGAAATGGGGAAGATCCATGGCGGATTTATGAAAGCTTTAGGCTTGGTAATGGAAAAAGGTTGGCCCCCAGAAGTTGAACAAGACAATAGCCGGCCACTAGCTTACTACACCATAAGGGAGAAGCTGAGAGAACAACTGAAGCTAAACAAGGAAACAAGATTTATGTTGGCTGGTCACAGCCTAGGAGGGGCACTATCAATTCTGTTTCCAGCTGTTCTGGCATTGCATAAAGAAACATGGTTGTTAAATAGATTAGAAGGGGTGTACACATTTGGGCAACCAAGGGTAGGTGACAAGAAGTTCAAAGAGTTCATGGAAATTCAGTCGCAGAATCATGATTTCAGGTATTTGCGGTATGTTTATTGCAATGATATGATTCCTAGAACCCCTACAGATGACAAAACTTTTTTGTACAAGCACTTTGGGACCTGCCTTTACTTCAATAGTTGCTATAAAGGGAAGGTGAGAACCTCCTAATCCTATACCTCAAGATTTTTACCTTCAAACACATATACAGAGAATGGTCGATTCTAATTTTGTGGTGCAGGTACTACGAGAACAACCCCACAAGAATTACATATCGCTGTTTGTATGGATACCTAGGTTTCTAAATGCGGTATGGGAACTAGTAAGGGGATTCATTCTACCATTGATAAAGGGACCGGAATATAAAGAAGGTTGGTTGCTCATACTACTTCGGTTTTGGGGACTTGTTTTTCCTGGTTTAGCAGCTCATAATCCCCAAGATTATGTAAATGCAACTCGATTGAGTTCTCATCGAATATATCAACAACTTCAAGGTCACCATCCTATGAAAGGCTCATACCTGGCATGAGACACAAAGTAAACATGCAGCAAAAAACAACAATCAGCCCACATATAAACCTAATGGGAAAATCATCAGAGGAAAGCTAAAACAAAAGTAATAGCCAAGCTATTTCCAGTCTTATTAAGGATATTTTAATATCCTCTTTAGCTAATGCATCAACAACAAAAAAAAAATTGGCTTCTCCCTTCTCTACAAGCATCAGCGCAGCTGAATTTTCTGTTGTTCTTAACAGAATGGAAATCATGTTGAAGTGATTCTTGTATTGGCCTTCACACCTTATTTTTCCACCAAGACAGTGTGCTCTGATATCGCTTTATTATCTTTAGGCCATTGTTTGGAGATGTTTGTTGTGCTATAAAGAATCATTATCCAATTTAATTACCTCTTCATTATAAATAAAAATACTACTAATTTTTCATTTAAAAAGAAATCTTTCATTTTATAATATGTAGTAATGAAACTCCTCTGAAATCACAGTTGTAATTGAGGTTAGCGATCCATCAACAATCAATTATATCTATTCCATTTTGTTATTTATTGGACTCGGATCCTAGTGACAGGAAAGCATGGTTCTATTCCATCTGGAAATTATCTATTCCTCCAAAAGTATAATCTTTCTTTTTACTTGTGATTCTTGATTCAATTCTCGCCAAAAGCTTTGTTGCGACTAGAGGAGTTAATCTTAATACTAATCAATTACAATGCTTTTGGTGTGGATTTGTTGAGGAAAGTTGTTCACATGTCTTAACTTCTTGTGACTTTAATTGAAAAGTGTGGAGTCTTGTTGTCAAATGGTGGGATTTGTCTTGAAGAATTCTAAATTCTATTTCTTCCTTTATTCAATCATACTCTGATTGTCTTTTCTCTAACATAATTCATAAACGATGGATGATAATATGTGATGTTGCATTTTGGTCTATATATGGTATGATTTAAAGTACTGATTTTTTTTTAAAAAAAAAAATCTCGATGCTTGAATTTTATTAACAAATTTTCATATTATAAAGTATTGATTGTGTTTTTTTAATTTTTAAAATACAAATTAATTCATCAAAATTTTATATTTGATTTTTTATTTTTTATTATTTTTGCATTTTTTTATTATTTTGAGATTATTATAATTTTAATTATAATTTTATTTTTTAAGCTTAGAAAAAGCAAATCTAGGCCAAAACTAATGGGCTTGAGGTTCAGCTGCCCATTCCTTCCTTTTCTTCTCTTCTTTTTTTTTCACCGCTTTCTAACCAAAACACCCCATTTCAACCAAGTATAAAACCTATCCTCGCATACTCTCATTTGCTTCTCTCTACCGGACACCTGACCATTCTTTCTCTCTTGACTAACTCATTTAACAGTTCTCTCTCTCCTTCTCGCCTTAACCCCCAGTCTCTTCTTTTCCCTAAAACCCATGAAATCTCTTAAAATTGATGGACCCTCATTTTCTTCATTTTCGGGTTTTTTCTCAATTGCTTTTTTTTTTCTCAATTACTTTTGTGTTTGTTTTTTCTTTTAGGTTTTTTCCGGTTGATTTTTATTATTGATGATTTGAAATTTCTATTTGGATTACATAATGCTAGTTCATTTTTGTGTTGATGATGGTTGTTGTTTTGATTTCTAGAGAGTTTTTTTTTTAAATTTTGTTTATGTAGATTTTTAGATTTTTGTGTTAATAGTTCGAGGAATTGAAACCCATATTCAAACAAACTCAATAAATTATCATAATTTTGAGAATTATGAGCATTTTAAAAGCCATCAAAAGATATTTAAACACTCCCAATTCAACTTAATTACAGAATTAAATACAAATTCCAAATAAATGTTTTAATATATATTTATCGAGAAAAATAGAGATGCAGAGTTAAAATCGGCTTCCTTTTAAAAAAAATCAAAACCATTATTGTTTGTTTTTTTGAAAAGCCAAAACCAATATTGTCAATTTGTATATATATATATATATATTGGTTGAACTGAGTATTAACTTTTGTATGTTTTAATTTAAAACTTTTTAACTTGAAATATATGCATATTTGGAATGGTGAGAAACTAAGGAGACACAGAGAAAAATTTTCTATTTATATATACAACCTAAGTCGACTTGTATGACAATATTTCTTCACGTACATATAGAAATAAATGATTAAATAAATAATCATTGATTCTACATACTTTATGCATAAAATTTAAAATCCTCAATCATTAATTATGTCATAAAATCACTGAATTTTAATATTTGTTTTACTAATATATATATATATATATATATATATATGCGCGTATGCATGCGCTTACAAATTATGGAATTATTTCTTCTTGTGGGTGAAAAACATCGGAAGATCCAAGACGGGTAGAGTTAACATAATCTTGAGTTGAATGAGCTGAAACTCCAGGGATCACCAGTCCTATTATTCTAAACACTCTTAGGAACCATCCTTCCTGATAATCCGGTCCCTTTGAGTAACATATAGTGAAGCTTCTTATCAACTCAAACAGAGCGTTTATGATCATGGGCACGGCCGATAACGGCGAAAAATAGTTCTTGTTTGGTAATTCTGGAACAACCTGCAACATTATGAACCCCCAAAAGAATTAATAACTAATAATTATGTGTGTGAATGATACTTATATATATATAGACACTCAGTAATTAATTAAAAATGTTTTTTCAGTATTGAATTAAGAAGTCTTGTCTTGGCCCAAGGAAAGCGACTAGGCAGAGTGCTACTAAAAGGATAGAAAGGGACAATAACGCTGGTGATTGTGATAGGTTAGGCCTATGATCAGTCAGTATTAATTATTGAATAGAGAGATTGTTGAGATAATTTTTTTGTTACAATTGAAAGGGGAAATTTTGAATTTTACTTTTTAAAACAAGATATAAAGAATGAGCTAATTAATCAAATATTCGGGTGCATTTGTTGACATAGGTTAATTGCTAATAAGTTGTTAAACTTGTTTGAGAATTTCAAATTATATAAAGTGGACTGGCCTTTTAACTAATTCTGCTTGTGCTAGGCATGAACTAAATAAATAAACAGTTGCTTTAACCCAGCAAATAAATAAAGATAGATGCTAATTACCTTTCCACGATAGTGCCTATTATAGTAGAGGCAGGTGCCAAAGTGCTTGAACAAAAGATCCTTGTCATCATAAGGCAGCCTTGGCACCATGTCATTGCCATAGACAACCCTGAAATATCGAATTTTATGCTCCTCCAACTTATTTTCCATGAATTTCCCAAATGTTTCATCTCCTACTCTTGGTTGGCCATATGTGTAAACCCCTTCCAATCTCTGCAGCAGAAATTTCTCGTCATGCAAAAGCAAAATTGCTGGAAACAGAATTGCCAACGCCCCACCCAAGCTGTGGCCTGTCAATATGTATTTTGTTTTCTCACTTTCGCTCAAGAGTGCTTTCAATTTGTCTCTAATGTCATAGTACGCTAATGCTTCTTTCCGGATTTCGTTTTGTTTGCATTCTGTTGGCCAGCCTACGTTCTTTTGCAAGCCTAGGGCTTTCATAAAACCGCCATGGATTTTTCCCATGTTGGGATCGAGCTCATACCAAGAAAGATCAAAGTCTGAGCACCACGCATCTGCATCAAATGGCTCCGTGCCCCGGAAGGCAACAACGATAGTATCGTGGTCATCATTTTTATCACGAAGAAAGAACATCTGGGTTGTGGCTTTTTCTTGGTAATCTGCCAAAAAAAGAAAATGACAAAACAAGTCACTGAATTTTTGTATAAACAAACAAATAATAGTTCCGTAGCATGATTGAACTTGTTTCATTGTGGTTAATGACGATTATAATTTAATAAACCAAACTATACAAACAAATCATGTCTTCAAGAAAATTCGTTCGCACCATTCCAGTAGTCGTAAAATTCCAAGTACTCCATCTGCGAAAAGAAATAATTATGTTCAGTAATAGTCCAGAGATCATGTCCAACCAAATTATATATTTGTCTAATATCTTTACACAATTTGTGTGTACCTTCCAATGATCCTTGACAATAGTTTCAATGTAGGCTCTGTTCTCATATGATGCTTTGGATGCCATCATAGACAGTGCCGAATAATACCTGCATCCATCTACAGGTTTGATGTCACCGTCTAGCTTCATTCTCTTATCCAAATTCCCAATGAAGGAGATGAATGTTGCTGAATTCTTATCCGGTATCACAGCCTTCCCTATACACAAAAACAAATTTTATCACGAATTTTACTAGTATAAGATATTGGTTTCTTGAAGTACTAGGGTCCATCATGGGGGTACACTACACCATGGCCTAATTGCCTGACATCTCCATGGCAACCAAAGCTGGTTGCATGTGAATTCGTACCTTACACACGTGGCACTACCTACCGGCAGGCAGACACATTTTGATACGGTAGATATAACTAGAAAACAGCTGCATATATAGATTAATAATGGCATTGGAGCAAATACATATCAATTCTTTGACTCACAGCAATAATTTTTCATTTTCTGCTCTCTATAAAACAATTATGTCTTGAAATGCATGTGTATATTAATTAGTACATAGAGAGTTGAAATCATAGTATTCCCTTGTATCACCCACAACCTAACTACAAATATTGAGTTTTTATTATAATTAATTTAACTTAAATATTTTTTACGCTTGAAAGAGGTATACATTTTCCATTTAAAAGCTATTATTTAGTAATTGTTATATACCAAAAACACTGTTAAGATATTGTACAGTGCAAATGTGACAACTAAAAGAGAATGCAGCTAATTAATTGAAATTAAGAACACAATTTTTTTTTTTAAAAAAAAAAGATTCCTTGAAGGTCAATTTAATTTGATATAATAATATTATCTTCTCTCCTTTACCTGGTTCCTTTCTTTCCGTTTTTTAAATTCAGAATTAGACAACCAACGTAGTACTAAAAGGATGTAAACCAGATAATTAAAGATCTAGTCATTATTATATCAATAAATTAAAAACAAAAAAGACAATGTTTATGAAGGATGAAACAACTGTCAGCTTCTTTATGTTTTTTTATGGAGCCTGTCATTATCAGTAATCAACCAAACAGGGACCAATGGCGCTCCTTATCATCTCCAGTGCGCAGGCTTTTGAGCTGTTAAAGGAGTTTTCGTCCCAAAAAAAGAGGCTGCTAAGTAATAGTGGTAAATACGTGAACCAGGTCGCTAGGGGGGCCACCGACATGGACGCATCATCGTAGAAATAAATATTTATGCTATCACTTTTATTTCACCAACAAAAATATCCTTGTTTAATTATTTTCTAACTCGAAAGTCATATAATATACTACTTTTTCCTAATCACACGGTACAAAACATCATTCACTCTAACAAAGAACTGTTCAATCGAAACTGACTAGGCAACTACATATATGCTCGCTTGACTACAAAGATTTTGTTTGCTTGTTGGACTCTATGAATTGCGTGCATATGAATGTAGGATGTGTTCTTTCCAAAGCGTTAATTTCGGTTTTCAGGCACTGATCTGATGGGGTCGAGCCCACTACTCTCGCAGCCAACAGAGAGTTTCCAGTTGTCCCATTAAAGGCGTAGCAAACAAGCCTCCCCCATATCCTATTTAATTTGTTATCTTACCCAGGAAGTCAACAGACGAATCATTTACTATCACCCATTGACGAGAGATAATTTTCACTTTTATCTCTCCAAATAAGGAGGAGAAAAAGACAAGAGTATACTGTATATTTTCCTATTTTGCAGAAATCATAAAATTTTAAATAAAAAACAGATATATTATTCTTCCTGGAAAGCATGGGTCTTAATATTCTTAACGATTCTCTTTGTCTCTCGATTAATTAATTTGAGCACTCCTAGAGTTTTGAACAGTGGTTCCTAACTACCCATCATATTAAATGAAGTTTCTTAATTACAATTGCCAGTGGGAGGAACATGTACTGATGGTATTGACTAATTAAAGACAGACTGCAGTGATCTATGTTGTAAAATAAAAACACATTAAAAACGAATCATACAATAGTAGTTTGTTGCCTTTTATCTTCTTCTCTCTCTGCAATTTTATTCAGTCAGAACTCACAAATTCACTCTGGCACTAGAAGGTGATCAAGGCCTTTTGCTAATGATAATGGATTGGGTCTTTTTTTTCTTCTTTTGAACGAAGGATATATGTCGAGAAGATCCTAAAAGAAATTGAGGAACATTGATTCTTGCCTTAACATGCCAATTTGTTTGTAAATATATCGATACATGATGCAACTAGCAGACCACGAATATGAAGGTAAAGGAGAAAAGCCAAGCAGAAACTCGATCAAGCCCACATACATACCTCGTACGAGATTAAAAATGAGGACAAAAAAGTTCCGGTTACATGACAGAAGGTTGAGCCACATCTCGATTAGTGATCCCATCCATGACATTGGCTTGGAAGTAAACATGAGGAACTTCTGCGCCACAATCGAGATGAATATCAGCCATCTGTACCGGAAACTTTCTTCTGTTCCCGCTGGACTATCTACGAATTTTCTGTCCTCCAAGCTACTGGAAAACAAGATGCGAAACAGATCAACGAATTTCACTTCTTCAGGTTTCAATATCATGTAATTGCAAGAGAAACCCTTGTCGCACTCCATTGTTTCTGCTTGCGCTGCCATTATGCTGCAGCAGCAGCAGCAGAAGAAGAAGAAGAAAATTCCGGGAGTGACTTTTCTTGCTGCGGGGGACTTTAAACCCCTTTATATAGACAGAAAACAAGAAAGAAAATAACTACTGATAATCTATTCAAAACAAATAAAAAAAGACCACACCAGTGGTAGAACTAGTGGCTGTGAAAAGCAGAGAGTTGTTTGCTTGAACATGTAATGAGTGGTTACTGATAATCAATGGTGATGCCACTTAATTTGATATTAAGCGGCCTAATTGGAAGTGTATGGCTAAATTGACTTGGAAGCCTATCTACTGCCCGGAGTGGGGTCGTGAGCCTGATTTGCCAGCTATCGCATCAATGAACAAAACGACAGGAGCACATTTTTTTTCACATTGCTTAATTTATTTTTTTACCTCTGAACAAAATGTTTTTGGACATTTTACAAATCTTTCTTCCCTGTTTTCCCATTGACCATAAGCCTCCATATTTGTCAGTCGGCACCCTCTTCCGCAATCACTCTTAAATTGCAATCATTCTCTTTCATCGTGCAAAACATGTGTTATTGGACAGAGCTCACATGCCCCTTTATTGCCGTGTTGTTCATCTGCAACGTCTGCTTTCATATTTCCTTGTCTTCATAATCACTGCCCCACGGTACCTCTTTCGGAGTACATCTTTTGTTGTCTCTTTCGTTTCAAAAGTCTTCTATTTAAATTATTTCCAAGCTTGGCTAAAGCAAGTAGACTGTCTAGACATGTGCATTAATTACTGACGCATATATCCAAATTTTAAGCACTTAAAATGAAATAATGCATTAACTTGTTATTGTGTTTTACTATAATGATTTTTCAGTGTTCTAAAACTTTTTCTGAATCTAGTTATGATTAATATTATGGGTAATTGTTCCCAACTCAATTTGAAAATTATGATAAAATTATATGTAATTTTTCCTCACACTTCTTGGTTGTTCATTCTTTTGAGCAAGAAATGTTTGCAAAGGTCAAGTTCCTTTAATTGTAGCCATTGTTGCTCAAAATAATCTAGCCACAGCTAATTTAAAGCGACAATTAAACTGCATTTACTCACGTAACAGGAAGAATACACGTATTAGTAAGTCATTAGTTGATTAATTAATTACACTGAAAAGGAAATCTTTAGGTACGAAAACTTGTTTCAGAAGAAAAACTATTATTTCTTAATAAAACGAGCTTCACGAGGTCATTTATGTGTGAGTGTTTCAGCCAACCTTAGCATTATATTAACCTCCAAGCTTCTATTCTATTTTATACCCCACTATTCCAAGCCCTAACTAAACCTCTAGATGGCTACTTGATCTGTGTTTATACTATAATGTACATTAACTAATAATATACTATCTCAGTCAACTCATACGCATGTTTTTCTTCAAAGGAGAAACAAAAAAAAAATCTTAAGTAATTTGCATACATGTTGAATAAATAAAAGCTTTGCTTTGTGTCATGGGTATCATTAAAATTGAAATATTAAAATTTGGGTCTTTTACTATTAATATTTCAAACTTTTGTTATTTTTTTATCACTTGACTATAGTCTTTAAATATCATAGTGGAGGGTCTTGTATTTAGATCTTTGAAACATTATATTTAATAATTTCATAAACTTCTTCATAAACATTATCTACGTATAGTAGTTCTTATTGTAAAATTTTATTTTAATTTTTTTTTTTTTTGAAAAACTGGCTTTTATTGAATCAAAAGTTAGAATGCCATAAGAAGTCTAGCACCCAACACTGGTGGAAGGCTCCTCTTGGCATAGGAAACAAGCTTTGGGAAGGGTTTTATCCCTAAATATAATTAACAAAAGTAGCTGCGACAGAGCCAATGGCTGCAAGTTAAAACAAGAGAGCCCCACACAATTGCCATGGGCAAAAACAAAAAAAAGAAGTTCCAATTACATGAACAACCTGAAAAATGGCATCTGATCATCCAACAAAGTCTTAAAGGTAACCAGCTCAAAGATGAGCACATGAGAAAATCCGACCTTGACCTTTAGGCAGCAAGTAGCGGCAAATCGAAGCTCTAACTCTCCCGATCCTTATCCAAAAGCAGAGAGTGAACACCCTGAATCACCAAGAAGGTAAGTACACACTGCGACCAGAAATGATAAAACCACCTATCTCTTCATTAATAATTCTTTTTCATTTATTATTTTTTATATATGTAGAACAACCTTTAACATTATGCATCACGAGCGAGCCATGGGAATGGTCGATTCTGATCCATAAATATGAAAATCCTCCAATTTTCATCACTTTTTTGTCGTTTCTTGAAGGAACTTTTCTTTTAAATGGAAAATAAGGGCAAAATGATGAAGGAAATAATGAAAAGCCAAGGGGCCAAGACCATTTTTGAAAGAGACAGTACTTGGCAAGGTTCTGATTTTTTTGGCTGATTCCCTCTACCCCTGAATTCTGCAGGGTTGCCAGAAAACTGAAAATAATTGTTGTGTCTGAGATGGGAAACGTGGTTTGTTGGCTTTATTCTTACGGGAGTTGCCTCAGCTGATAATAGGAGATGACTCACTTGTTTTTAGACATGCTAATGGCACTAATTATTAGAGCCTTTTCTCTATTACGGAAATAATTTTACCTTTAAAAGAAATATTTTGAAAATTTGAACTACATCTAATTCATTTCTCCTAAAAAAATTTTCTCTTTTACAGTTCAAAATATTTTTTTTAACAAAAAAGGACTACAAAGAGAGAACATAGAGAGGCATGCATGTGCAGCCACTGAGGTAAAATGTACTATTTACTTCTTTCGTAGTGAGAGATTATTTTTTTGGTATATATTTAGAAAATGTGGAATCTAGTACCTAAATAAGTCAAGAAATCCCGTAGAATGTTGATGGGAAAATATTGATTTTCGCTGCTCGATCTTCTATTAATTATTGTGTAAATAAAATACAGTCCCGGGTGTCTACAAAAAAAAAAAAAAAAAGAGACCAGTTATGAGCCGGGAAAGGAAATTTATGAAGAAATAAAATATATTTAGTTCAACGAGTAGAATGAACTTTGCTTTTTCTCTTTGCCCTATACAAACTCTCTCTTTTCACAAGAAACAAATGGGTACATAAGTGCATATTTACTTCTTTATTGTTTTTTCAAAAAATTATTAATATATTGATTAAAAAATTGCATAAATATCGAATCAATTCAAAACATAAATTCATATCAACATTATAACCTTCACTACTCAAAACAGCACAAATCCATTTAATGAAAATTCTGAAAACAACTCTTACTTTCTTTATTGTAGTAAATATATTTTTGAAATTTTAATTTTTTAGTTTGTGTATTTGATTTTGGGAATTAAACTTCTTAAGTAAACGGTGATTTATAAAAAAAAAAAAAAGGACTGAGTTTAATTATATTTTCATGACTTTTCAAAAAAAAATTATATTTTCATGACTATATGTTTTACACATTAAATAATTAAGTTAACAATCAAGAAATAATCCAACAGAATCAGCGTGGTATTGCACGAGGAACACGAAGTTCATTGATTAATATATAGTCGGTGCTATACATAATTATAAAACCCTATCTTCCATCACATGGGTGTCCCACTCGGGAGGGTGTAACAACAGGATTGAGAGGGAAAAAACAATAGTCAATGAAAATATCCAGGGAAATAGATAAGGAATGTAAATCACAAACTTGGGGCCCGTTTTAGCTTCATTTTGTCTATTGATTTATGATAAGCTTAGTTTTCTTTCAGCATTTCTTATTGTGGTGGGATCGTATGATGGGATGGTAGTTGGGTCCAAGATTTGACACGTTAGTAATGATGAAATGCAAGCTGCTATTCAATATTTACAGTTCAAATTTGTTAATCAGGCTATGATTTTTTGTTTAATAAAATAAAATTTTGAATCATGTCTTTAAATCAAAAAATATACATTAATCATTAAATCAACTCGTAATTTTACCCGATAACAAAAATGTTTTGGAGCCAACTGCCTTGAAGCTTTTTTTTTTTCAAAAGCTGTAATCATCCATTTCATTAGCTAAGGAATAATACACTCAAAAAGGAAGACAATGTACCTGCGTCCACCATGAAAACATGTCTGCAGACTACCAAAATACAATCTGCAGCAGCTAGCTCACCCTGAAAACCCCAAAAGACAAAAGTTACAACCTCCCGACAAGCACAAGAGAGGATCTAGCCATACAAAACAATAAAAAAGACCCCTGTACAGCATGCACAGTCATTCACAGCATTAGACAATAAACCCAACAAAAGTTTGAACTCATCTGTATATTGTGCACTTTAACTGCCTTGAAGCTTAAGCTTCAAACAACTTGAACAATTCTTTTTTATTATCTCAGACACAAAAATCACAAATAAATTGAAAATGCCCAACATGATAAATCATCCTAGTTACGAAGGTGCTATTTTTGCAGCCTTTGCTATTGGTGTTCATGCGTGCACCTTCCAGTTGGTTTTCTTGAAATCTCCCAAAACCCAAATTCTAATTCTAGTGGGCCTAATCAACCTTGTTTATTAATCCGCACAATCATAGATCAGGCCTTTTTCCCTTTTTTTGAAAAGTGGTATTTTATTCTTCCATCACAAGCTTATGCCATGACAAGTCTTAGGCCATAAGATTTTGGAATCATAGATCAGACCTTATTAATTATTACACTAACAAGTGCACATCATCAGTACTGGTTTGTCTGCGTTGGGGAAGAAAAGCTTCTGGAGATCCAAGGCGGGTGGAGTTCTCACAATCCTGGGGACAATGAGCTGGTATACCAGGGACTACCAATCCAGTTACTCTGAAAACTATTAGCAGCCACCCTTCTTGGTAATCCGATCCCTCCTTCTTTACTATGGTGAAACTTCTTATCAGCTCTTGTACAGCATTTATCATCATTGGCAATACGCTCCAAATCGAGAAGTAGTTCTTGTTTGGTTCTTCCTCAACAACCTGCATTTAAAATGCCAAAGAATGTACATAGGCTGTCA